ACTGGCGAGAATCCACCCACTGTGGGTGAGAAGCCCTTGCTGTGAGGGGGAACGCTTCGCGGTGCTGAGGAAGGCAGGCCGAAGCCTGACCTTCGGCTGGTGCGGGAGGGAGATAGGGCTTCGGGCCTCTCTTCGGGGAGGGTGTGTGGTGCTCCTTGCGGGTGGACAAGCCTGAGAAAGGGTGTTGGGTAAGCAGAGGGAGAGACCATAAGCTGGAACCTCCTGCACCCCCAGGATGCCTCATCTGTAGGGTTGGGCTTCCCAGTCCCTGAGTCTAACAGCCCTCCACTTACTTAGGTGTTTAAGTCCACTCACATTTTATTTTTTCAGATTGATCTCTGGGTACTTAATGGATTTTTTTTATGCTACTGCAAGTGGTACACCTTCACAATTTTACTTTCTAATTGTTGCCAATATGCAGAAATACAAGTGGTTTTTGTATATTACCTAGGACCAGAAACCTTGCTACTTTTACTAGTTTATTGGTAGGTTTGTCCAGGTCAATGGTAAGCAAACTCATTAAGCAACAGAACCAAATATCAACAGTACAATGATTGACATTTCTTTTGAGAGCCAATTTTTTTTAAAACATCAACTTCTTCTAACGCCACTTCTTCAAAACAGACTCGCCCAGGCCGTGGTATTTTGTGGAAGAGCCACACTCAAGGGGCCAAAGAGCCGCATGTGGCTCACAAGTCGCGGTTTGCTGACCACTGCGCTAGTTGATCTGAAATCATGCCATTTGCAAATGATGACAGTCTATTTTCTTCCCATCCAATCCAGTCTTTTAAACACACACACACGTAATTGCACTTGGCTATTTCTCCCAACTTACAGTAAAGGGTTTACAATGGACACCTGTGTACCCACCCGCCTGGTGTCTTAACATTCTGGAATTACCAAGGTCACCGTGCTTCTAACACATCTACCCATCCTTCTGTCTGTCCTTTTTCTTTCTGTGGTGCATTTCAATATCAGTGCAGAGGTTAGTGCCCTCCCCCGGGGTACCTGGGCATGCGTGCCAGGATCCTACCATTGACTAGAAGGGGTGACATTTTATGAAAGAAAAATTTTCCCATCTACTGAGATCATTTACTTTTCCTTCTTTAGTCTGTGGTGAATGATTGGTTTTTGAAGGACAAATCCAATTTAATCATGATGCATTTTTACATGTTGCTTTTTATGTATTGCTGACTTCTATTTGCTCATGTTTGTTCAGACATTTTGCATTAACAATAATGAGAGGGGCCTGCAATTTTAATTTCTGTGCTGCTGTAACTTCACATGGTGGAAAGAGAAATTTCTTCCATGTCTTTCCTTGGAAGGGCACTAATCCCATCATGAGGGCCTCACCCTCTTGACCTCATCTAAACCAAATCACTTTTCAAGGCCCTATCTCCTAATACCATCACACAGCAGATTGGGGCTCAATATATGAGTTGGGAGGTGGATATACAAACATTCAGTACATAATAGTTCCCTTCCTCCAGCGAGAATGCACATGTGCTAGGCACCTGAGGACATTAATCACTTGGTTTCACCTGGTTCCACATCCAAGGATTGGCTCACTGAATCCATGAGGGATAGTCTACTGATAGTCATGGAGGACTAGAAATCCAACCAACCCTCCAGCTTGGGAATCCGGACACCTTGGGAATCCGGCCAAAATATTTAAATCTTTTGTTTGCAGTGATTCCGAAGCCAACAGGCTGGTGGCGTGTCACCTGGTCAGCTGCATGGGGCTGCTTTTCCTCTGGGGGCCTTTTCAACTCCGGAGACGGCGTAGCTGGGACTCTTTGACAGCCCTGGGGAGTCAGGAGAGCAGTGGTTGCCATATACTAGCATGCCCTGCTCAAGGGGAAGGGAATTCCCAACGAATCGCCCTTGTTTTGGATGGGGGAATCCCAAGTGGATATGCCCTAATGAGAATAAATTTTATGCTTCGAGTTCTTAAAAAACAAAATTAAATTATTTGCTGTGAACTGTACTATAATCCATTCCTCAGCTTTTCAAATTCAGAGGAAGCATGGCTCTTCACCAGAGAATGGGAACCCTGACCCCTTGGGCTCCTGGAGGTGATGTGGGACACTGGATTAACCCCGAATTTGGCATCAGAAAGCCCAAGGACCAGTCCCTAATATCAAAATGGCAGCTACTGAACCTATAAGCATAGTACCTAGCAGGGAATTAAGACGTAAAGGGTTGATCTTGCAAACCCAAGCCTCTAAAGGATCAGCAAGAGCCTCAGCTCTACTGGATGGCCCTGGAAACACAGAGCAACTCGGTTACGCAGAGAGCTTTAATGCCAAAGGCAAGATCCTGTTCCCCAGAACCTAAAGGACACGGTTGCCAGAGTAAGAAACTCAGGGCCCAAAAGCATCCCCCTCCAAAGCTCTCTCGTGGGCGCACCCTAGCAAGCTCAGGGCAGTTGCTGGATGTTGGTCCTATGTACTGGCCTCTCCATCTTCTGCTTTGCCAGCTCATGCGATTTCCTTCCAAAGGAGAGGACTGTGTGCAGGGTGCTTTCTATGCCTCACCTGTAGGGACTTATTTTCCTTCCTTCCTCTGCCTTCGCCTTAGAGCTGCCCCAAGCCCTACTCTGCTGCACTGCTGCATGTGGCTGGCCTTAGATGCCAACGGGACCAGGCTGCTGTTCACAGGTCCCAGCACTGGCCTCGCGGGCGGCAGTGGGAACCAGTTTTGCTTTTGAGGCTTTTTTGTACAGTCCTTGAACTCTCGAAAAGTAAGGTGCTAGTGAAAGGGGCACGTTCTTTTAAAAATAAATATCGTGGCAGAACCCTTGATTGGTAAGTTGACACACTGCAGTAACAGCTTCGTATCTTGGATGAGATCAGATGTTAATTTCCCTCCTAACACAGGATGATCCTGTATGGCCTCATTCTACACATTTTTTTACTTTGTGGAAAACAAAAAAAAATTTACAAACAAATTAATGCAAGCATAACTCAATGATGTCATTTAAATTTATTGTCATGTAATAAATCTTACACAAAAGCAGGCAGCTCCTGGCGGGTCTGTGCGGTGGCATGTGGGACGTGTGCTCACACGCTGCCTCTGAGGCTGCAGCCCCACTGGGCTTTCAGGCCGGTGGCACTTCTGCTGTGCGGTGATGAAGGGGGGGGGGGAGGCGGAGGAGAGGAGACGGGGCTCTGGGAGACTGGGGTTCCTCTAGTCACAAGAGCTGAAGGCCCTGCAGCCAGTGGTTGGCCCATGGCACTGCCCTGAAGACACTTCTCGGGTCCCACCAGAGACTCAGCTACCCCACAGGATGCTCTGAACATTTGTGTTTTGGGGCTGGAGGCTAATTCCAGCATGGCCTAAATGCAAATTCATCCAAAGGATGGTGGGCCTTAAGGCTTCAGCAGGGCTGAGCCATGTCACTGCCTGCTGGAATCCTCTTGGAATAGCTGAAAGCATTTCCCCAAACCTAGAAATTTGCATCTATTATTGCCTGCTGCCTGACAGCCAAGGCAGTTCCCCAACCCTGACAATGCCTGCGGTATACTAAACCTTCACCTTTGATATGTATATTTGCTTTGCTTTAGGACAATTTGTGTTAATAAAAAAGCTACGGGTCCAGAGATTCAGAGAACTTGGTTACCGAAGCTAAGTCTCCTCTGGCTCCTGAAAATGCCTTCCAAGTTTATATGTCATGTCTAGTCTCTTTACTAATTTACACGCAGCCCCTTCTCCAGACTCCGGAACCCTTCTAGATGCCGGATAACACCCCGCATTTTGGTTTCATGGGAGCAAATCAAATGCTTCAGAAACAAATTAAAGCTATAAATCCTTTCCCCATGTGGGAGCTTTGGTTTCAGCGCTGGTCTGGGCGAGGACAAACCGCCCAGCTGACCGCTCAGGCCGGGAGGTGGAGCAGCCAGGCCTTTCCCGGGTGGACACGCGGACGTGCGTAACGTGTCGGCAGGGCTTTTACCCTTTTCCAGAGGCCGCGATGGCCTAGGCCTCCGGCCGGAGACACGGGGACAGGAGAAGCCGTTTCCTGAGAGAGGCCCGGCAGCAGGCCGAAGCGGCTGCTGTCTCCCGTGGAATTATTATATGTGCTTTTGTCTTCGTGCGTGAAACTGGCTTCTCATCTAGACTGTGCAGGGGCGGTGGGACGTGGAGCGGGACTTGCCGGGACGCCTGCGCCTTCAGTGCCCCGCTGGGCGGAGGGCGCTGGGCGGAGGCCGCTGGCCGGCTCCCTGGGACCCGGCGTGTCATCCAGGCCCCAGTGGGTTCAAACCACGTCAGAAATGAAGAGGAAAACGTGTGTTTCATTTTTCTCCCACGAGTTTGGCTGAAGAAAAAAAGATTGCTTTTGGAATGGAGCTTTCTTTTCCTAATGATGAACACAGAGTGGATTAACTCGATTTGTACTAGACTCCAGTTTAATTCAGCCACAGCATAGAGGCCAAATCGCAGAAAAGCCAACCTGGGCTTCCTGAGGAGGAGCCGTTTCCTTTTTTTGGGATCTGATGCAGGGGATCTGACGGCTTACCCAACTGCCTGGGCACAGTGTTTATTAAATCACCACACAGAAGACTTCATTTCCTCCTTAATTCCTGTCTTGTCCTCTTTTCAGACTGATATTTCTCAGCGTTGAAAGAAACACACATATACATTCACACGCGACTAAAACAAAAATCTTAGACATGCATAAACATAGTTAAGTCCTGGGGAAGCATTATACGCCTAAGGCGGCGGGTCCCTGGAAAAGCTCTGGATTCTGGTTTAGAAATAAATAAAATTGCGTGTGGGGCAGCAGGTTTGATATTTATTATTGTGGACCCTCCCCCTTTTTGTACTAGAATCGAAGCCGAGTGATCTGCCAACGGGCACCGCTGCTCCACTTCCGGGTGTGCGAGGGACACACGCCTGCTTCCCGATCCCCTGACAGAAGACACGCCAGGTCATCTCCCGGGTCTGTTCGCCAGAAAGAAAAGTCTAGAAGGTGCGGATGGAGGGGCGGGCGGCTGCCCTCAGTCAGAGTCCATGGTGAACAGCTGGATGTCCTGTGGGCTCCAGTACAGGCCGGCGGCCGAGCCGTACACCAGCGACCAGACATAGGGGATGAAGAACTCCTCGGGCTGCTCCTCTTCCACATACTTGAATTTTAATTCCGGAAACTTCTGCAACGAAACAAGACGGTTTTATGATCGCGCAGTTCCCTGCAGAAGCGAAAGCAGCAGCAGCAGCGCCGCCGCCGCCGCGGGGCTGAGTGCGGGAGCCCCTCCCCGAGGCGGCCGCGGGGCTGAGCGCTCCGGGGTTTTCCCGATCCGCTCCCTCGGGACTCCCGAGAACACGCAGGTCCTGCGGGAAGGGCATGGGATCCCCTCGGCACCCCGGGAGGAGCCGGGGCCCGAGAGGGTGGGCAGGGCGGGCACATCAGATGGCGAGACAGGGCCTGCGGGGGACCCTACAACGCGGAGGGCAGCGCCTGCTGTGTGTGGGGCTTGGTTCTCAGGCTGACGCCCTGGCGAGGAGGACCTTCCCGCTCCATTCCTAAGCGTGGACGGCGGACAGGCACCGACTGGGTAGAGCGCTGGCATCCGGGGGGGAGCTGCTCTGCACAGCAGCTCGCTGCCTCCTGCGAGGGTGAGTTGGTCAGCGGAGGGGAGCACTACCTCCAGCCCGACTGCGGGGCCTCCATCAGGCCGCCCAGGGATCCATTTCATCCCAGCCTCTCAGGAAGTCCTGGGCACCCCACCAGCTCCGTGCCGGCCAAGCAGCTGTGTGGTTTCTCGGAGGCCCACGCCCGTGGCACCTTGCAGGAGCCTCCTGACACTCGGCGGCTTCTGGCTGGCCTGGGTGCCCGGTGAGGGTACAGGGCTCTTGGAGGTGGCATCAGTCTTTGTCATGAAATCAGGGGTTGCAACACAATGATACTCTTTTCCGTGAAAAACGGGCATTTGTAGCACCGGGCGCAGCCACCAGCCGCTGCCAGCCGTGCTCTGCACCGCGGCCGGCTGCAGTGTTCCCCTGCAGCTCGAGGCCCGTCACCAGTGTCCTGCTGAGGCCCATTCGGCCACCCACTAACGCCAGGGGCAGTGGGGCCTGCTCTGGGCACTTGGCCTGGGCTGTCATCGAGGCCTGAGCGGGAAAGTCAGTCTGAAAAGAGTCACCACAGCCACCCAACACTTTGTCCTTGAACTGCATTCTCCCAGCCGCCCGGAGCTGTCTGGGCTAGTTCTGGGCCCTGTCACTGCAAGACAACCCGCCACAAGGCCCTTCAAACAATGACCAAACGCAGAATGATGTCAGTTATCAGAATGGATGATCTGTGTGTGAAGGAGAAAAATATCCCTTAGTAAAGAGGAAGTCCTACTTCTTAGAATACCTCTCCCAGTGACGCGGGGAGAGGGGTGGGGGAAGTGCAGGGCGGGTGGCTGGGAGGTCAGCCCCACACTGCCTGCAGTGGGAGCCTGACACAGCTTCTCCAGGGTAACGCAGCCATAAATGCCCTCCCGTTAGGAAGGGGTTCCCTGTGGAGGCCTCAGGGCAGGGAGCAGGGCCACTTGCCCTCTGCCTCTCCGAGGGGGTGGGAGGCAAAGAGGAGGAGCTGCTTTCATGAGCATTCCTCCTCACTGCATTGGAGAGTCCTACTGGGTGGACTAGTTTACCTGCCCTCATGGCTTTGGAGATTCTGATGACTCTCAGTGAGAAAGAGGCACGAGTCTCAGTTGTACTCTTGAAACCTGTACGGTTCTGCGAACCAATGTCACCACGACTGCTTAAAACTAAGACACATGGGAGGGTAGGCTGCTGTGGCCTGAGAGCTAGGGCAGGCCTGTTCTCCCCCGCCCCCCAATCAGGCTGGGTGCCTGTGCTGCCTCCTGAGGGGGCACCACTGAACACAGGAACCAAGGGCAAGGCCAGGAGGGCTCTATTACTCGAAAAGCCTGCACGCTGCAAACGGCCCCCACACCCCCACACTACTCTCTCCGCAGGGAACAGTGAGCGGCGGACGTTATTTCTTGGAACTTCTCATCAGCTCCTACAAGGCCCAGAAAGGGGGCTAAAGCATAAAGAGCAAGGGAAACAAGCATGTCCCCAGGACTCACTACACCAAGTTAACAACGGAAAGCGCGAAGTAAGAGCTTCCTTTTTCCGGCAGCGTCGTTTAAGAGTGCACTGGGAACACCAGAAACGGAGAGTAAGAGGCGTGAGCCAGGCAGGAGTTTTGAAAACACCATTTGGTCAACCTGAGGGTGAGCAGCCTCTGCGTGGCGAGCGGTGCCCGAGCTGCTGTCAGCCCGCCCCTCCCCCAAGACTACGGCATCTAGAGGGGGGCGCCGCGGCTGGAGATTTAAGCAGACCTCCAAACAGACAGCGCGCCTCTCATCTGTCGCAGAGGCCTGGGAGCTAAGGAAAAGGAAGACAAAAGGTTTTATTTAGCACTGATGACACTGGGGACACATTTTGTCAGGATTCAGTCCAAGAAATGTCATAGTCCGAATGTCAGATCAACAACCTAGAAAGAGTCACTCTTTCTTCTATGTTCCTTTTCCAGCGGGGAGAACAATAACGCCATCCTGTGATGCCGAGGGAAGTCCCACTTCCTCACTCGAGAGCGTCTTCACTCCCGACTCCGCAGACCAAGTCCCTGCTGCCTGGGCCCACGCCGCCAGGCACTCCCAGGCCCGCCCAGCGCTGACCACTCATCTTCTCTCCAGTTCTCAGGCCACTGAGGGCCCCACGTGGTGACAACTGGGGGGCGTCCTGAGGACCACTAGGGCCTGGGAAAGCGGAAGGCGGGCTTGGGGGTGGGGCCTTGGTTTGGAGGTTATGGCAAAAATTCACCCCCCGACCCCCATCCTCTCTCTCCAAGACAGTTGTCCTGTGACTCAGCTAAGGAGAGAAAAACCCGTCGCTCAGGCTGGGAGCTTGGTCTCCGTCCAGAGCTACTGACAACAATCCTGTTGTTTTGATATTTGGAGCCAGAGGTAATGCTAGACTCCCAAGCTTGGCCGGAATGTGTTTATCAGCTCCAGTGAATCAGCCCACCGCAGAGGGACATCCGGACGCCCAGCCCAGACACAAAGCAAAGGTCTGATGTGGTGGTTGGGACTCAGGTATAACAAGCACACCAGACGCTTTAAAGACGGTCTCTGCTGTCAGTCATGCGATCTGGTGAAAGCCCACAGGAAGTGCAGTGAACAGATAGATGTAGGGCTCCACTGCGATCATTTTATTACCACTGACAGTCCTCTTCCACCCAAGGGTTACACAGATAGAACCCAAGTTCTAGCATCACCTGGCCCGGCTCCAGAAAGCTTCGTGCAATTTAAAATCAAATAGCTACACAGCATGTCAAGAAACTTTGAAAGACCACAGTGAGCCTCCGGTGACCACCGGAGGGGTGGCGGTCAGGCGGCCGGAGGGAGTTCTCTAGAGCAGCGCACCCGGGGCTTGGGGGAGGGGTTCTGTGCACGTGGGAAGTGAACTGGTTTAAAGATCCCGCCGTGAGACGGGGTGAACATTGACATACATTTTTTTAAAACCCAGGGCTGATTCGGAGATGACTGTCAGCTCCAATGCCATTCCTTCCTCAATACTCCTGCTGCGGAGCACCCAGTCCTCCAGGGGCGGGGCCTTGGCCTTGGGGAGCACCGGCTGCACGCGAGGCTTGGAACTGTGAGGAGGAAGGGGAGCCGCGCTCCTCTAGCGCATGATGGTCGGGAGGAGGAATACGGTCAGTGGGCGCATGGCCGCTCCCACGCGGACCCGGCTGTCACTGGGGTGGGGAGCGTTTACCTGGGCCCGCACAGCAAGCTCTAGGAGAAATGAGCTGACAAACCTGGAAACACCCACATACTAATTCAGCTAACTCATGGGCTCGGCAAGCCTGAGCCACAGGCTCTTGTGTGTGTAGGGAATGAGTTACAGACGTGTCCATAGTATTACTTAACTGACAGAGACATCCAACAGTCTGTGAGTACAGTGACGCTACGTGTGGCATAGTTCTACTAGTATATTATGTGCATTACTTTCAAAATTAATGAAAGCCTAAATTCAAACTATAGAAAATTACGAGGGGCCACTTAATAAAAGTTACGGGTGAAGAAAGCCAAAGCGAAGATGGAGCAGCCCGTTATGAGGCCGCTCAGAGACAGCACGGCATGGTCAGGGCACCACGCCGGCCAGACACGGGGTCCTGGGGGGCTCGTTGGGAGTAAGTTTCCCCCCGAGAAGAGAGTTACAAGGTAAGCAGACCCCTTTCCTGAAAGCCCAGGCCAGGGACCAGCACACGGCGCTCAGGACACTGTCTGCCGCCTCTGAGGTCTACAGTGACAGCAGCACCGTCTGTGACGGGTGGCAGAGAGGCCTTAGAAAAACCGATGGACGCAATTTAAGGCTGAATCACATTTGGGATGAGCTCTCCACAAACTTATGGTCACATCTCAGCCGGAGTCTGAAGTCCACTGGAGTGTGAAGCCGGAGCAAAAGTCCCGGCGAGGCCCTTCTGCCCTGATCCAGGTTGCGGGTCCTGGAAAGGAGCTTAAAGCTCCCCTCTTTTCCGGGGGCTGGTGGGCTGCATGGAGGAGGAGGCAGTAAGGACTGGCTGTCTTGCAGGGGAAGTTGGAGAAACATCCTGACAGATGGTCTGACCTGTAGGAATGGGGCTGGGGCAGGGCAGCTGGCACTGCACATGGAGCATCTCTCAAGCAACAGTGAGTTCAAGGGTCCATTTCTGGGTCTGGCAAGTTCTGTGGGGCCAGGACACAGGCACGGAGGCCGGCAGTGGGGATAGGGGAGGGGGAAGGGTCGGGGAGGGGGGGACACAGGAAATGCAGGGTTGGAGACAGTCAGGTGGACCTCAAGGGCCAAGATGACAAGTATGCCCTTTGGCGAGCCTGGCGTTGAGACCAGGCCAGGGATAGTATTAGAATTAAAAGTCATTAGTTTCAAGGTGGCAGCTGAAGCTGCCAAATGGATAAACTCCTCAAGACTGAACCACGTTACTGAGTCAAAGAATGTGTTTCAAAGACCAGTTGGCTCAGCGCAGGAGGCTGGGGTTCGATTCCAGGTGGAAGGTGAAGGGCAGAAGCAGAGAATTTCCTGGCAGAACCTCTGCTGCTGGAAGCTGGCCCAGCGGGGAGCCAGTGATTGGAACTGCTTGCCTTCCTGC